TTTTTCTAGATCTGTGAAGAACGTCATTGGTATCTTGATGGTATCACATGAATTTATAAATTACTTTTGGGAGAATGGACATTTTGTTGATGCAGATTCTTCCAATCCATGAGCATGGAAGATTTTTCCATTTTTGGTATCTTCTTCTATTTCTTTCTTTAAGATTTTGTAATTCTCATCGTAGAGATCTTTAACGTCCTTAGTTAAGTTTATTCCAAGGTATTTGATTGTTTTTGTAGCTATTGTGAATGGGATTGATCTTAGAAGTTCTTCCTCAGCCGTGGCATTGCCTGTGCATAGAAAGGCTGTTGATTTTTGTGCATTGATTTTATATCCTACTACTTTGCCAAACTCTTCTATGAGTTCCAATAGTCTCTTAGTAGAGTTCTTTGGGTCCCTTAAATAAAGAATCATATCATCTGCAAAGAGGGATAGTTTGACTTCTTCCTTCCCAATTTGTATCCCTTTAATTTCTTTTTCATCCTGATGGCGCTGGCTAAAACTTCCAGAACTATATTGAATAGCAGTGGTGAGAGTGGGCATCCCTGTCTGGTCCCAGATCTCAGTGGAAATGCTTCCAACTTTTCCCCATTCAATTAAATGCTGGCTGTGGGGTTTTCATAAATTGCTTTGATTGTATTGAGGAATGTTCCTTCTATACCCAATTTGCTTAGAGTTTTCATCATGAAAGGGTGTTGAATTTTATCGAATGCTTTCTCTGCATTTATTGAGATAATCATATGGTTTTTCTTCTGCAGTCTGTTAATGTGGTGTATCACATTGATTGTTTTGCAAACATTGAACCATCCCTGCATACCAGGGATAAATCCCACTTGGTCTGGGTGGATGATCTTTCTGATGTGTTGTTGTATTCTATTGGCAAGAATTTTATTGAGGATTTTTGCGACTATGTTCAAAGGGATTTTGGTCTGTAATTTTCTTTCAATGCTGCATCTTTCTCTGGCTCAGGAATTAAGGTGATGCTGGCTTCATAGAAAGAATTTGGGAGGATTCCCTCTTTTTCGATTATTCTGAATAGTTTGAGGAGAATTGGAGTCAGTTCTTCTTTAAATGTCTGGTAGAATTCAGCAGTGAATCCTTCTGGTCCTGGGCTTTTCTTTGTTGGGAGGGACTTTATTACTGTTTCAATTTCTGTCTCACTTATGGGTCTGTTTAGGTTTTCTATGTCTTCCTGGTTCAATTTTGGTAGATTGCATGTGTCCAGGAATCTATCCTTTTCTGATAGGTTTCCCTGTTTGCTGGCATACAAGTCCTTGTAGTAATTTCTGATGATTCTTTTTATTTCTGTGGTGTCTGTTGTTACGTTTCCTTTTTCATCTCTGATTTTATTGATTTGGGTCTTTTCTCTTCTTTTTTTAGTTAGTTGGGCCAATGGGGTGTCAATTTTGTTTATTTTTTTCCAACAAACTAGCTCCTCGTTTTGCTGATTTTTTGTAATTTTTTTTTTTATTCAATCCTGTTGATTTCTTCTCTGATTTTAATTATTTCTCTTCTCCCACTAGATTTGGGTCTGGTTTGCTGCAGTTTTTCTAGATCCTTGAGAAGTGTTGAAAGCTCTTTTATTTGGTACCTTTCCAATTTCTTGATATAGGCACTTATTGATATAAACTTTCCTCTTTACACTGCTTTTGCTGAAACCCATAAGTTTTGGTATGTTGTTCTGTTGTCCTCATTTACTTCCAGAAAGTTTTTGATTTCTCTTTTGATTTCTTCTATGACCCAGTGTTCACTCAGGAGCATGTTTTTCAATCTATGTGTTTGCATATGCTCTAGAGATTCCTGAGTTGCTAATTTCCAACTTCATTCCCCTATGGTCTGAGAAGCTGCATGGTATGATTCTAATTCTTTTGAATTTGCTGAGACTTCCTTTATGGCCTAGTATGTAGTCAATCCTAGAGAAGGTTCCATGTACTTCTGAGAAGAATGTAAAATCTTTAGCTGTAGGATTGAAAGTTCTGTAGATATCTCTTAGATCCATTTGGGCTATAGTGTCATTTAAATCTACTGTATCCTTGTTGATCTTCTGTCCTATTGATCTGTCTATTTCTGAGAGTGGAGTATTGAAGTCCCCCAGTACTATTGTATTTGAGTCTAAGTCTCCCTTTAATTCCTTAACAAATCTTTTAAATAAACTGGTGCCCTGTAATTAGGTGCATATACATTGATAATCATTATATCTTCCTGTTGAATTGATCCCTTAATCATTATATAGTGCACCTCTTTGTCTCTCTTAACAGTTTTTGTGTTCAAGTTTATTTTGTCTGATATTAAGATGACTACGCCTGTTCTTTTTTCATTTCTGTTGGCTTGGTATATCTTTTTCCAGCCTTTCACTTTCAGTCTGTATGGATCTTTGTTGGAAAGATGTGTTTCTTGTAAGCAGCAAATAGATGGGTTTTGTTCCTTAAACCAATCAGCCAATCTGTGTCTTTAACTGGACTGTTCAGGCCATTAACGTTCAATGTGACTATTGATAAGGAGTAACTTTGCCCTGCCATTTCCCAAAGATATTTTCAAATATGTGCTTTGAACTTCCTGTGATCTTTTGCTGTGAGGTGTCCTTCCTTTACCTTCTTTCATATTGATGACCATGTTTCTGTGTTTCTGTGTGTAACACATCTTTAAGCATCTTTTGCAGGTCTGGACGAGTGGCGACAAATTCATTCAATTTCTGTTTGCTATGAAAGGTCTTTATTTCACCTTCATTCACAAATGATAGCTTTGCAGGATATAATATTCTGGGCTGGCAGTTTTTCTCTCTTAGTACCTGGGCTATGTCTTGCCATTTCCTTCTAGCCTATAGAGTTTCTGCTGAGAAGTCAGCTGTGAGTCTAATTGGAGATCCTCTGAGAGTAATCTGACATTTCTCTCTTGCACATTTTAGGATCTTTTCTTTATGTTTCACTGTGGAGAGTTTAATTACAACGTGTCGTGGTGAGGATCTCTTTTGGTCATGTTTACTAGGGGTTCTATGAGTTTCCTGTACTAGGGTGTCTCTGTCCTTCTCCAAACCTGGAAAGTTCTCTGCTAGTATCTCACTAAAAAGGCCTTCTAATCCTTTCTCTCTCTCCATGCCTTCAGGAACTCCTAGAACCCGAATGTTGGGTTTTTTAATAGTATCCTGTAGTTTCCCAACAATATTTTTTAGATTTCTAATTTCCTCTTCTTTTCTTTGGTTTGACTGTATACTTTCCTGTTCTCTGTCTTCTAAGTCTGATATTCTCTCTTCTGCTTCACTGACCCTGTTTTTAAGGCTCTCTAATGTGTTTGTCATTTGATCTATTGAGTTCTTCATTTCATTTTGATTTCTCTTCACTATCACACTTTCCTATTCTACTAGTTTCTGCATTTCATTTTGATTCCTCCTTAAGATTTCATTTTCATGATAGAGATTTTCTATCCTGTCCAGTAAGGATTTATGTAGCTCAAGCATATGTTTTTGAAAACTTCTAAATGTTCTTATAAATTTTTTGAAATTGGTATCTTGCATTTCTTCCATCTCATCATCTTCATAATCTTGGCTTGGGGTATCTTGTTCATTCAGGGGCGTTATAAAGTCTTCCTTGTTCTTGTTTCCTCGGTTTCTGCATTCGTTGCTTGCATTGTGGAGATATTCTTTGGATTCTTCTTCCCTCGCTGTGGTGTTTTTTTTTTTCTCTTTATAATATGACTGTATTAAGTGGACTGTCTGCTTTTGATGGAGCCTTAGAGGCTTGAGATGGGTGTGGCCAGAGAGCTCTGTTTGGTTCCTTAGGGTAAGGGTGTGCCAAAGGTAACACTCCCAGGTTAGGCATGATAAATCTCTCTCTCTCTTTTTTTTTTTTCCAGAAGGGAGGTAATTCTGCACAGCTGAGCAGAATTGAAGGTAGTCAGCTTCTGATCTCTGGCTCCTGTGGGTATAACATTTACCTGCTCTTTTCCAAGGACCACACAGGGAATCTGTTCTGCCCTCAGTGTGGGCTCAAATTCTCCTGTAGTCTCTCACTGGGTTGCCAAGGTTACCGAATTGTAGCATCTCTGGAGAGTACTCATGTGAACTCCATGAGTTCTCTCATCCACCATCTCTTTTTTCACAGTCTCAGTTCATTAGCTCCACACATTCACTAGGTTCTAATCTGTTATTTCACCCCCACCCCAGAGTCAGGCTTTTCTGCTTGGCTGTGGGTGGGTGCAGCCCTGAGGTCACGTAGTTTTATGTATGATCAAAATGGTGCCTGCTCTTTGTCTTGCTCACCTTTGAGAGGTGAGTGGAGAGACAGAAACTCGTGTTCATACTGGTCCCCCCCTCTTTTTTTTTTCCTCTCTCCTCTAGTTAGCCCTTATGAACTTTCCCCCATGGGGCTTCAAGCCTAGTTCCCTCTAGGCTCCTCCTTCTGCTTTCCTGCCAGTGTCTCGGGCTATTGAGGTTCAGCTCACCTCACGTTCCAGTGCTGGTGTATAGATTCCGCCACTTTTGTCCCAAGCTGTGGGCTCCCCCTCCCTCCACGCAGGTCCACCATGAATCACTAGTTCCGGAAGAGTTTCCTCTGCTGTTTCTTCCCCAACTCTTCCTTGAACCTGCAGTATCTCCACTTTTATTAAACTGTCTCTTCCTGGACTATCAGTGTGCTCCCTTCCGATTCTGCCATCTTGCCAGAAATTGGGCAAATTATTCTGATTTTGACCATTTATAACTTATGAAGTATGAATAAGATGAAGAGCAGCTACTGGAAGGAAAATATATACCTTCTATTTTGCCTACAGTTTATACAGGTGAAACATAAAAATCTCTTTCAAAGTAGGCAACTATATATGTAGGACTGAAATACTGGTGGGTAACAAAAGTGTGTAAATTGGGAGGGTTTATCTATACAGTGAATTTTGAAGGCAGAGTAAGACATAGTTTGGCAAGGAACAGGCATGCCTAGATTCCAGATTTTAAAAGGAAAATTTTGGTCTTTAAGTAAACTGAAAGAACAACTTGTCTGTTTCATTTGTAGACCAAAGTATGGAGGGAAATACTGTACTGGAGAAAGAAAGCGCTATCGCTTGTGCAACGTCCACCCCTGTGCCCGAGAAGTACCAACATTCCGGCAGATGCAATGCAGTGAATTTGACACTGTTCCCTACAAGAATGAGTTCTACCACTGGTATCCAGTTTTTAATCCAGGTAAGGGACTGTAACAGTGTACCTCAAATCTAAGGCTATAACTGATCTCAGAGAGCATTTGTATGCAACATTTACTTGATGCCCTGCAAAGTTAAACAAATACAACTAGATCATCAATAGTTTTATATTTTAGAAAATGAGAGAAACACTGTTCTGGTTAAGTTGACCAGTAAATATGGAAGACTAACTATATCCAATTTTTACCCTTATGAATATATGAGGGAACTTCAACAAATCCAAGGAAAATGAAATTAAAAGCTATGGATATTTGATGCAAAAAGTTTTTGAATTATATATAAGGAGTCTTCTTAAAGGTCATGGAAATGCATATTATGAAATAACTGTATATGGATTTTAATTGACTTTACATCAAAATAAACCTATTCCATTTTACGTGATCCTTTATCGAGTGTGATGGATGACTCACTTCAAAATAGCTAAGGTGCAACTGAATGACTTCTGGGGCATACAAGAAGTCAGCTACTGATTGATTGTTTATGAGCTTGTGGAACTGACAGTGATTTTTGGCAGAAATTCAGAATAGAAAGTCATTGTAGGCTTAGAGTAATTGCACAGAAAGCTCCCAAAGAAGTTGATTCTTAAGCATGAACAGCCTTTTCACTGAAGGCACTCACAATAGAGTCACTGCAAATGGGAAGAGAATAGCATTAAGAAAGGCAAGATGATAGAGATGACTTCCTCAGAAACGAACAAGAGCTACTTCAAGCACAGGATTCTGTCTGGGGCTACTGTACAGTGCAGGAAAGGAAGCTCTGGGAGAGTCACAGCGGTGGGTTTGTGTGCTCTTGTTGATGTTGCTGTAAAGATTATCTACTGGATGTTTTGAAGATCCCATATACCTCGGATCTTATGTTCAACAGAGCTTTGTGCTTCTTCTGTGCAGTGCATTTAGTTAACCACCTACTGACTAGTAGGATCTAGAATTCTAGATAACCAACAATATATCAATGGCTTAGAAAATAGTTAATATAAAAATTTAGTGTTATTGCTTCTTGGCCTTTTGTCTAAGATCAAGTGTAAAACTTGGGGTTTATTGCAGAATTGATGGGTAATGGCATAATCAGAGAAGGAGAAGATATTTCTGGAAGTTTTGTTGCTTTTGTCAGAATGAGAATTGAATTAGTGTTACAAGTTTTTCACTGCTGTGAGAAACAATTGGAATGATGGAGGCACAGAATATTGACACCACGTTGAGGAACTTTAAAATTCTTTGTGCTCATGAGGAGGAGGTAAAGCAACCACTACACTTCTCATTTGTTGAGCATTTATTCTATACTCAGTAAAATGCTGAGAGCTTGACCTACAATCTCTAATTCTCACAGTTTTCCTGCATGGTAGATATTATTAGATCTACTTTTCAGATGAAGAAACTGGGTCACAGATTAAGTCACTTTCTGTAGATGATATTAGCCTTTTGTGGACTGAAGTTTTTAAGGCAGCTCTCTGTGGAAGTACATGGCTCCAGAAACTGGTGATTCTTGATATAGTAAAGACCCATGAGAGAAAGAACTTTGCATTAAAATGAAGTCCACTGGTATTTTACCAAATTTGGTTGGTATATTCATGATACTGCTCATGAATAAATATACTGCCTAATAATGTGAAGAGTGGTTACTTTGGTTTTTTTTTTAAAGATGTATTTATTTGAAAGTCAGAGTTACATAAAGGCAGAGGCAGAGAGAGAGAGAGAGAGAGAGAGAGGTCTTCCATCCTCTGTTTCACTCCCCAATTGGCCAGAACGGCCGGAGCTGCGCCAATCTGAAGCCAGGAACCAGGAGCTTCTTCTGGGTCTCCCACATGGGTACAGGGGCCCAAGGACTTGGGCCATCTTCTACTGCTTTCGCAAGCCATAGCAGAAAGCTGGCTTGGAAGTGGAGTGGCCGGGTCTTGAACTGGTGCTCATATGGGATGCTGGTGCCTCAGACCAGGGCATTAACCTGCTGCGCCACAGCTCCAGCCTGAAGAGTGGTTACTTTGAAGATCTCATCAAAGATATTTGGTTTTTGTTAAAGAAAATTCTGTGCCTGTGCCTTGGGCTTTGTAGTGTGGACTCTGCTGCTGAAACATTGGGTTAGCTCTGCTGTTCATACTACAATATCTTGAGAAATTTGATTTCTCTATGCCTAAATTTTCTCATCCATAAAACAGGTAATAAAATAACTAACTTCATAGAGTGGATGTATTGTCAAAATTGAAATAACTATTTCCAAAGCACCATAAAATCTTTGACATAATGCTCAAATAATATATCAGCTATTATTTTCACAAAACAAATTCATTTTAACTCACTATGTAAACAAGACTCACATAATCTCTGGATAGCTTTTCCTTCAATAGGGATACAAGTAGCACAAGCCCACAGAGCTATGGCAAACCCTGCAACTTCACCATTCTGGAATTCAGTGCAGCATGTGCCTCTGGGTGGGGTTTATTTGTTATGAGGATCCACTTGTAGGCCCTGAAACTGGGTGCCTCCTTCAGTTTTGCAGCTCAGATGCCTCAACTCTTGGCCCTTCCCAGTAACCTTGCAATAGATCATTTCTTTTTAAAAGTTCCAGAATTTTTCAGGGTTGCTCTCTTGATTTATATGTCCAAATGCAAAGTTTTAAACATAAATGCTAAAACTCAAACTGTAGTCTTCATGAAATGATACCCTGGATTTAGCACCTGATCTTCTCATCCCTAAGAGAGAAGAATCATTCCCCGATGTTCCTCTAAACACTTCTGTTCCAGTTTGGGTAGTGACAGAGCTAACCAAGGTCCCTTTCCATCGGTACCTTGTCCAGTGGTCTCTTCCACTGGTTTTGATTTGTCTATCTTCTCAAATGTTTCTACTGAAGCTTCTATAAAATCAATTGGTATTCTTTATTTGCTTTTACACTTCTCCTTTAAGCTATCAGCAAATATTTTTGATTGATGTCTCAAATTCATCCAGAGTTTTACTATTTGGACCTCCTAGTCCCATTAGTGTGAGTTTATTTCTTTGCTACATGGACCATTGCATCCTCAAGCAGACGTAGCTGTCACTTTGCACTCTGGCTTTGCGTTCCATGCCCATCCACATGGAGGCAGGCCCTTGATAAATGTCCTTTCCATTTATGTCATGAATCCCCTCAGCAGGTCACAACACCAGGAAACCAACAGATTCAGAGAAGACATTCAGAGGGCCTTTTCGAAGGAGACAGTTCTCAAGTTATTTAATTGATAAACAACACATAACACTCAAAGGAAATGTACTACTCGGATTCTACAATATATATGCGTTACCTATGAAGAAAATTTATGTTTTAAATGTTATATACCTCTCTGTTATTCCATATACACATGTGTGGGTATGTATTTCATTAAGTGAAGTTTCCTCTGCTGTAGATCAGCCTATCTTCATTTATAAAGACATACAAAACTGATCCTTCAGGGCAGGTTTTGGCCTTGCATTACGATGCCAATCAAGACACCTATATCCCATATTAGAGTGCCAACTCCAGCTCTTGACTCCAGATTCCTGCTGATGAAGACCAGTGATAGCTCAAGTAATTGGGTTCCTGCCACTCCCATGAAAGACTTGAGTTCCTACCTCCCATCTACCAGCTCCTGGCTTTGTCCATCCCTTGCACTTGTGGGTATTTGGGAAGTGAATCTAGACGGGAGTTCTCCAATCTCTCTCTCTCTTTCTCTCCCTCTCTCTCTCTCTCTCTCTCTCTCTCTGCCTCTCCTCTCTCTGCATAACTCTGCCTTTCAAGTAAATAAGTAAATCTTTACCAAAAAAAGAAAAGAAAATATTGATTCAAAAAGACTCTTAGAGGGGCTAGTGCTGTGGTGTAGTGGGTAAAACCACTGCCTGCAGTGCCGGCATCTCATATGGGCGCCTGTTCAAGTCCTGACTGCTGCACTTCTGATCCAACACTCTGCTATGGCCTGGGAAAGAATAGAAGATGGCCCAGGTCCTTGGGTCCCTGTACCCATGTGGGAAACCTGGAGGAAGCTCCTGGCTCCTGGCTTCGGATCCACACAACTCCAGCTGTTGTTGCAGCCATTTGGGGAGTGGTGGGTGGAACCAGTGGGTGGAAGACCTCTCTCTCTGCCTCTGCCTCTGCCTTTCTGTAACTCTGACTTTCAAATAAATAAATAAATCTTTTTAAAAAAAAGACACTAGAGCCAGCATTGTGGTACAGTGGGTTAAGCCACCACCTTCTACAACAGTATCCCATATGGATGCTGATTCATGTCCCAGCTGTTCTACTTCTGATTCAGCTCTCTGCTAATATGCCTGAGAAAGCAACAGAAAATTGCCCAAATGCTTGGGCTCCTGCTGCCCAGGTGGAAGATCCAGATGAATCTGGCTCCTGGCTTCAGACTGGCTTGACCCAGCCCTGGCTAATGTGGCCATTTGAGGAGTAAAACAGCAGCTGGAAGATCTCTCACTCTCTCATTCTCTCACTCTTTACTCTCACCCTTACCCTAACCCTCTGTCTCTGTAACTCAGCCTTTCAAATAAATAAATAAATCTTTACAAAAAATTGTCAGTACTGAACATGTACATATTTTCTTTTCTTGTCATCATTCCCTAAATATCACAACTATTTATATAGCATTTCCATTGTGTTAGATATTGCAAGTAATCTAGAGTGAATTTAAAGTATACAGGAAGATTTGCCTAGATTATATGCAAACACTGTGCCATTTTATGGATAGAGTATCTGGAGATTTGGGTATCCAAGGGGATAGAGACCCTAGAGCCAATTACCTGAGAGTCCAATGGATAGCTATGCTTATTTTCTAGGCTAATCCCACATGATCTGTGCCTTTTTTGATAAGCACAGTTCAATATTGGATTAAAGGGTCTCAGCATGTATAACAAAAGGTATAGCTTTATAAGGTAATATTCCAAATGTAATTAATTATAAAAATTTTTACTGAAAAATGAGCAGGCATTTCAGCATGGGTCTCAGTAGATGAAAGATGGGGTCACCTGATTAAATTACACTTAAGGGTACTGAGTGCAAAGGAATGCTGAGGGAAGAAGGGTGCTGAGATGGAAAGCTAACTTGCAAGGATTATCTTTTTTTTTTTTCCTCACTTCAGCACATCCTTGTGAGCTCTACTGCCGACCAATAGATGGCCAATTTTCTGAGAAAATGCTGGATGCGGTCATTGATGGTACTCCTTGCTTTGAAGGTGGCAACAGCAGAAATGTCTGTATTAATGGCATATGTAAGGTATTGGGTATGTTTCTTTAATCTATAACTTTATAAAAGTGTGTTTTATTAACTCAAGGTGTTAGATAATCTAAGCCTGTAATTTCATGGCATTTAAAAGTCTGGTTTTTATTTATGGCCTTATGGCTTGTGAGACAAGTCTCTTAATTTATTTATTACTATTTTTTCAAAGGAAATTGAACAAGTATAGAAATGGAAAGATACAATCTCAAACAAAAATGTATACAGTATTTAATCTATCTTCTTTGTGGATATGAAAATAATTCTTTACATTCATGTGCTTGGCTGTCTATTTCAAAATTATGATATTTGACCACATTTTGACTTCTTAGATTTGAAAGTTTTATTATAAAGGAAATGTTCAAACTGACCCAATTTTTATAACTATACAGAACTCTCGTAAACTTGCTTAACAAAAATTGAGATTTAAACTTTGACTTTTCAGCATATTTTCTATTTCCCGTCACATATATGACACAAAATATGCTTTTAAATCTTTGAGCAGGTGAGCCACCCTCTCCTGCCTCTTGCAGCACTGGGACCTCACTCTGACACCTACTCTCTTAGGCCTATTAACCATCCATGTTTTTCCCCCTTATTCCTGGTAACCAGTTCTTTGACTTCAACTCCTTGTTTTCTCTCCCAGTCAGCATATCCTTGTCTTAATATCCATTTCAAATATCCAGATGCCACGGTCCATAACATTAGCTGATCCCTGGAATTCTCCTCTTAACCTTCTGGTAGATTTTTGTTCTGGATCATCCCAACCACAACCAATTTCATCCTACCATCAGCCTACTATGCAGTTCTTGAGATAAAAATTCCACCTTGTGAGTCTCAATCCTTATGAAGTTATTATCTTTGATCCCAACTGAATACTTAGCCTTACCTGGCCATATCCTACCTGACATCAATTAGCTCTCTCATCGTTCTGAACTATCATTGTATGTTCGTTCGTTCGTTCGTTCTCTCTCTCTCTCATTTTGGCCATCCCAGTCACATGGTGAATACTTCTAAATCAATTGCTCTGGGCCACACCTCTTTCAAGAACACCATATCTAATCTTTTTGCCCTCAAATACTCAAATAACTTAACTTTAATCTTAACATTCCTAAATCAAATTTATACACAATCCTACTTCAACCTGCTTTCCTATTATACTTCCTGGAATGATGCTAAAATCATCTATGTAGATATACAGTCCAAAAACTAGCAAATCGTTCTTGGCTCCACCTCAAATATGCTCCTGTATTTAATTGGTCAGTGTGCTGCCATCACCCACCCTCATCACCACTACCATCACTACCACTCCCTACCACCACCATTCCTATCACCAGTACCATCATCACCACTATCTCTAATAACTTCACCACCATTAATGCCACAATTACCATTATTAATAATTATGAAATACTTTATATGTGTATGTATTATATATATAATTTTACATCATTTTTCTCTTTAATCAAAGCCTAAATTCTCAAGTACACATAATTCTCACAATATCTTTTTGATTTTTCTTAAGTGTTCCCTAAATCTACCTATCAATATTTTTCAGTACTAGTGCCTGAGTTTAAAACCCATTGTTTTTTGCCTAGATAAGTTGTTTTTTTCTTTCTTTCTTTCTTTCTTTCTTTCTTTCTTTCTTTCTTTCTTTCTTTCTTTCTTCCTTCCTTCCTTCCTTCCTTCCTTCCTTCCTTCCTTCCTTTCTTCCTTTCTTTCTTCCTTTCTTTCTTCCTTTCTTTCTTCCTTTCTTTCTTCCTTTCTTTCTTTCTTTCTTTCTTTCTTTCTTTCTTTCTTTCTTTCTTTCTTTCTTTCTTTCTTTCTTTCTTTCTTTCTTTCTTTCTTTCTTTTTTCTACAGGCAGAGTGGACAGTGAGAGAGAGAGACAGAGAGAAAGGTCTTCCTTTGCCTTTGGTTCACCCTCTAATGGCCGCCACGGCCAGCACGCCACGCGGATCCGATGGCAGGAGCCAGGTACTTATGCTGGTCTCCCATGGGGTGCAGGGCCCAAGTACTTGGGCCATCCTCCACTGCACTCCCTGGCCACAGCAGAGAGCTGGCCTGGAAGAGGGGCAACTAGGACAGAATCTGGCACCCCGACTGGGACTAGAACCTGGTGTGCCGGCGCCGCAAGGTGGAGGATTAGGAGGATTAGCCTAGTGAGCCGCGGCGCCGGCTGATAAGTTTTCTACACTCATCTTCAACTGCTCTTCAGTACAGCAAATGCATTCTATGCTTCTGGAGGCCATACACTGCACTAGGAGTATAGCAGTGGACGAGACTTGGTGCCTGCCCTCAAGAAGCTTGGAGTCCCTGCTCTCTGTGTGGGCAATTCTCCACTTTGACCTAAATACCTTTGGAACATAATTTTTGTTGTTATACCTCAGCTCAAAATGCTTAGGTGGTTGTCTCTGGTGTTCTACAGTAAGACACTCATGGTTCATTATTATATACTCTTTTCAGAGCATCTAGTTATTTCTTATCTAGTCCCTGTCCTTATACCCCATAATCCTAACTTCTAAATTTTCTAAGTTGATGTGTTTTATTCTGACTGCATGATTTTACTTGTGTCATCTTCCCTGTATGAAATGTCTTGTCTTCTTCTGTTAACTTTTCCTTGAAGACTCAGCTGGAGCATTGTCTACAATGGGATATCTGGAGTGTTGTTTATATTTAGAAGACTTTCTTCACTGTCTTTAATGGGTTCCCCCTTGGGAAAATGATTTGAGGGAAAGTAAGTCTTTTGAGAGAGAATGGATGGGTAAGTGAGGCAGAATAAGAATGAAACCATTGAATATTCTCAAGCCAGTTGACTTTGTGAGCCACGGGAGGTCACTCCTGGGGAACAGCAGTAGATCCTGTAGGGTACACTCAGAGTTATCCCAACCACCTCCCACCAGTTTGTGGTTGAGTGCTGACCCCAGGGATGCAGACTGTGTGTGGAGTGTGCTTCCAAAACCAGGAACAAGGGCACCTGGGGTGTTCCCAGTAACCAGCCTTGGCCTGGAAAAGTGAAATTCAGGGGATAAGAGCAAAGCTATGGCAGCTTCTCCTGTGATGACCTCTGGTTTGAAATGAGCCCCTCTTCTCTTCTGCCTTGGCCCTTTGCACTCATTCATCGTGTTGCTTCTCATGCTCCAGAGGCTGCATTTGCCTCACTTTTTACATAAATCATCTTTAATTTCATCCCTGGGGCCTCAACAAATCAGCTTTGGTTTCATCTCTAGACCCTCAACCTTTAACTCTGAGTCTCTTCATAGACACTAATATGTCGTGTTTATTAGAAAGTTATCACAAGGGTAAGTGTTGTGGCATAACAAGTAAGGCCACCACTCAAGATGACTGATCCCACATCCAAGTGCCTTTGCTTCTGCTGCAGCTTCCTGCTGATGCACACCCTGGGATGTGCCATAGGTGATGACTCAAGTATCTGAGTCCCTGCCGCCACCACGTGGGAGACTCGGAGTTCTTGGCTCCTAGCTTTGGCCTTGTCCAGCCCTTATGGAACTGGCATTTGGGGATGGGAGTGGAGGCTGAGTCAGCAGATAGTCTCGGCCGGCACCATGGCTCAATAGGCTAATCCTCTGCCTGCGGCGCCAGCACCCCAGGTTCTAGTCCCGGTCGGGGCACTGGATTCTGTCCCGGTTGCTCCTCTTCCAGTCCAGCTCTCTGCTGTGGCCCAGGAGTGCAGTGGAGGATGGCCCAAGTCCTTGGGCCCTGCACCCGCATGGGAGACCAGGAGGAAGCACCTGGCTCCTGGCTTTGGATCAGCACGGTGCACTGGCCGCAGCAACCATTGTGGGATGAACCAACGGAAAAAAGGAAGACCTTTCTCTCTCTCTCTCTCTCTCACTGTCCACTCTGCCTGTCAAAAAAAAAAAAAAAGAAAAAGAAATTTCTATCTCTCGATCTCTTAAAATACGTAGACTTGCCAATAAAGAATGAATGAATGATGAATCTAAGTTTAGGACTGGTGAAGACCAGAAGTCAGAAACCTGCTCTGAGAGACCAAGCCCAGGAGTATTTCTGTTACACAGGTTTCTCAGGGGACAACCAGATTCCCCAAGAGGGCTAACAGTTCCACCAGATGCACTTGTCTCCATGTCTCAAGACTGTGCCCAAGTCTGTGTTTGATATACTTAAAGGCCAAAAGTTACAGATACAAAAATTATATTTTTGCTCTCCCTGAAAAAAAGAACATAAAGATCATAGCACAACAACAAAATGAGACGTGGTATCAGTAAGTCTAGACTCAGATCAAGTTGTAGGGAAAAAGAAATCAGCTTGGCCTCTGAGGAGCAGATGGTGAGCAGTTTGCTGGGAGACTCTGCAAGAACCCTGGTAGTTGGCTGGTGCCCCAAGGACACCTCAGCCAATGGTTTGGTTGAGATGTCCCCTAGAAGTGCCCATTAAGATCTAAAGAGTAGTGGATGTCTACTTAAAGAGATCCCCTGTGAGACACAGAGGAAGAGAAAGCACAGTATGCTTGGGAAAACAGTAGTGGATGCAGTAGGGAACATGGATGCCTTACTTAAGTCATAATAGGGAGCGTGAGCTCTACTTTTATGGCAATGGAGAGTCATCAAAGAGTTAAGCAAGAAGATGACATCATATTTTTAATATTAGTTTGGAGAAACCACCAAGCCTCTTTGAACTTGTTTTCTCACTTAAATGGAAAAAAATAATGTAGTCTTAATTCTCTAGGGCTGGGCAGTTTAAGCAAAATATATCATTTCACAGTTAGAAGCTTGCAATCACGTAGTCAGCAGGGCCATGTTCACTCTGAAAGCTTTAGGGAAGAGTCCTTCCTTATGCCTTCCTAGTTTCTGGTGGTTTCAGATAATCACTGGTATTCTTGGTTTGTAGCTTTCTCACTCCAATTTCTGCCTCCAAATTTATTGGGCCATCTTTTCTCTGTGTGTCTGTCTCCAAATCTGTCTTCTTGTCAGGACAACTGTTATTGGATTTAGGGTATACCCTAGTCCAGTATGATATTATTTAAATTTCTATCTGTAAATGTACTTTCTCCAAATTAGGCCACATTCACAATCACCTGTGGTTAGGACTTCAACATGGGGTAGTGGAGGGTGGTGACACACTTTAATCTGCAAGCACCTATGGTGAGGAGAACCTTATGCTACTGTACCATTTGTTAAATAGCAGTTACCAGTTTTGTTGGCTAAGCATAGCTCTGGCCAAACTATCTCCACCCTTAAAATGTCATTGCCTGGGAATGAATTCCATCCTATAAATAGGCATTCTTCTAGTCATTGCCTTTGCCAAGGACTTTAGAGAGAAATGATGACAATCCTGGTGGATTAGGTCCAGTACCAGTTGATATTTCATTTGTCATTCACTTGAGAACTTTCAAAGTAAAACAATGTTATCTCTTATATAAGAATAGAGAATTGGTAAGAATACATATTACTTATACACTTAAGGGGAGCTAAATGCTTGATGAGAGGCTGGGATCTGATTTCCTTGAGCAGCAGTCAAAATAGGATGCTCTTCAGTACAACCCTTTCAGGGTCAAGAATTGATGATCTGATGAGAAATGAAGTGATTTTTCAACAAAATCTGATGCCCATTGGAAAACTGGCACCCTTAGAATCACACTGGGAAAACGCCACGCTGCCATCATTGTGTGTGTGTGTGTGTATGTATGTGTGTGTGTATATATATATATATATATATATAGAGAGAGAGAGAGAGAGAGAGAGAGGGAGAATATATATCCTGTTGCCCAGAGCAGCTGTTATGAAAGAAGAAGTAGGCTGGCGCCGTGGCTCAATAGGCTAATCTTCCACCTGCGACGCCAGCACACAGGGTTCTAGTCCCGGTCAGGGCGCCGGATTCTATCGCGGTTGCCCCTCTTCCAGGCCAGCTCTCTGCTGTGGCCCGGGAGTGCAGTGGAGGACGGCCCAGGTCCTTGGGTCCTGCACCCCATGGGAGACCAGGAGAAGCACCTGGCTCCTGGCTTCGGATCGGTGTGGCGCCGGCCGTGGCGGCCATTGGAGGGTGAACCAACGGCAAAAAGGAAGACCTTTCTCTCTGTCTCTCTCTCTCACTCTCCACTCTGCCTGTCAAAAAAAGAAAGAAAGAAAGAAAGAAAGAAAGAAAGAAAGAAAGAAAGAAAGAAAGAAAGAAAGAAGAAGTAAAGCCCATTTTGTTTCCCTTCAGAGCCCCTTTCTTGTTGATGTACAACAAGGAAGTCTGATAAATGCTGTCATAGACCTTCTGTTATCTATTTGATATAGTTTCGATTGTGCTGTGTACATTCTCTGACAGGAGAAGCCAGTTGGATGAGGTCGCTGTAAGAACCCACATACTTTACTGTGAGACAGCATACGGGGGCCATATGTGTGTCTCCTTCCTCCAACCCTTGCCGCTTCGTTGTGCAGGAGAACATTGCTGGAGAAATGTGACCCCCCTCTCAGGAAGGAAGGCTTGTGCTCCAGGGATTTTTATTTCTAGCTTGCTCTTCTTTGGTTTTCATGCTTTTAATCTATTCCCCTCTCGGAGATTAAAGAAAGCACTTTAAAATGAATGTCTCATAATAAGTTTCCCTGGCTCATTCCAAATCAGTGAGGGATGAAGGTCACTGGGACTATGACTTGTAAAGGTCAGCTTATTAGAGGACACTCACGCTTGATGTAAGCATATTGCTTGTGAAGGTTGGCATTTTACCCCTAACCACCAAAGACTTGACATGTCCAAGACATTTTCCTTTCACTTGTAATTAGCAAAATTAAGTCTTGGTTCTTAAAAAATCTCTCAGGACTTTATTTATCTCTACCGGGTCAAGTAACAGTCTTTGGACCTAAAGGATATTAGTGATGGTTTACCTGAGGAATGAAGTGATTTTTTTTTTTTTTTTTGACAGGCAGAGTGGATAGTGAGAGAGAGAGACAGAGAGAAAGGTCTTCCTTTTTGCCGTTGGTTCACCCTCCAATGGCCGCCACGGCTGGCGCGCTGTAGCTGGTGCACCACGCTGATCTGAAGGCAGGAGCCAGGTGCTTTTCCTGGTCTCCCATGGGGTGCAGGGCCCAAGGACTTGGGCCATCCTCCACTGCACTCCCGGGCCACAGCAGAGAGCTGGCCTGGAAGAGGGGCAACCGGGACAGAATCCGGCGCCTCGACCGGGACTAGAACCTGGTTTGCAGGCGCCACTAGGTGGAGGATTAGCCTAGTGAGCCGCGGCGCCGTCATGAAGTCATATTTTTGTGAGTAGGTATTGCTTCTCTGTTTAGTTGGCAGAGTATATATTTAAAAATTCAAACCATTCTTTCTTTCAGTGGTTCATTTGTGGCTTTTAAATGAGAAAGAGAATAGCCTTGGGTGAAGAAAAAGCCTCTACCTGGCTGGTGCCGTGGCTCAGTAGGATAATCCTCTGCCTGTGGCACCGGCGCACAGCTGCGCGCCAGCTGCGGCGGCCATTAGAGGGTGAACCAATGGCAAAGGAAGACCTTTCTCTCTGTCTCTCTCTCTCACTGTCCACTCTGCCTGTCAAAAAAAAAAAAAAAAGCCTCTACTTGGACACAATTCTTCTTCCACAAAGAAGTAAAACCATGGCTGAAGAATATGGAAGAATATAGTGTAGTTTTCCTGGGTAGCCAGGGAAGAAAGCAGCAACAGAGAACTTTGATTGCAGTTCACATATTTCATGATTCTTCACCTAACACACATGATTCTCTGGTACCTGATGCTACAGAACATCCCAAATTCATCACTCCTCTTTGTCCAGGGTGGGAAAGACCCAGCCATTTTGACAGGCAGAGGGGAAACAACCAGTGCACGGTGAAAGGTGCTGATTCAGGAGGTGGTTAGCTAGAACCTGAGTGGGGATTAGGGCCAAGGCACAGAAGCAAAATTAGTCTTGGTCCAGAGGAGCAATGCCCAGTTCTTTCCCTGAAGCTGGAGGAAAGAAGGTCATGATAGCTGAGATATGCCTAAGTGTGAAGTGCAGCGAGTCTGTAATTATAGGAGGCTGTGAAATAGGAGGCTGTGAAAGGTCCGACGGTGGAACTGAATGTCAGATATTTCATCCTCATGAAACAAATAATATCCACATTAAGTCAGATTTCTCCCATGGTTTCTGGTTTACCTGATTCCCAGACAGGGATCTAAAATAATAAATCCAGTGAGGAATGTAAAGGGAGTGAGGAAGCAACTTACAGGTGGAATCATTGAGTCATCCCTGGAAAATCTCAGCAGAGGTGAAGGGGGATGAAGCCTGCTCATCTGAAAGAGACTTGCTGCTCCACCAACGCTGATTCTAAGACACTCATAGTTAATCTTTAGGACCTGTGTTCTTTCTGATCCAGGGTCAACTGGAGACCTACTCAATGTGTGCCTCTCTCCCCTCTAAGTACACTGGTGTACCATAACTGCAGGTTCTGTAACCACAAATTCTATCAACCATGGGGAAAATATCTTAAAAATTACATTTACACTTAATATGCACAGATTTTTTGTCTTGTCATTATGCCCTAAACAATGCAGTATAACAACTATTTAGATAATATTTGCATTTTAGATAGTATAATTTATCCAGGGATGAGTTAAAGCATCTGAGAGGGTTGAGTAGGTAATATGCAAATACTACACCAGTTAATATATAAAGGACTAGAGTGACTGTGGATTTGGGGTGAAGTCAGTCCCCCACAGATACTGAAGGACAACCATATTTTCTTTATCAAGGTGGGTGCTTTGGTTATTCTTCTGGCTTCCACTAGGACAAGGAAACGAACAATTGCCTTTGAACTCTGTAACTCCCAACCCAAACTTGTAAACAAACAGAGGGGGAAAGGAGACATCACGGGTCAAGACAGGGGTGGTATCTCCTGTGCCGCTCATCCTCAACCTCTTTTCCCTGCAGATGGTTGGCTGTGACTATGAAATTGATTCCAATGCCACAGAGGATCGCTGTGGTGTGTGCCTTGGAGATGGCTCTGCCTGCCAGACTGTGAGGAAGATGTTTAAACAGAAAGAAGGATCTGGTAACAAATAATTAAAGACAGGGGCCTGAGGTGGAAGGTCAGACAAATGGGTAATAGATTGCTAGTTTTTTTTTTTTAAAAAAAGATGGCTTTTGACTTTAAAGATAAAATTCAAGATAAAATATAGCCCTTACTGCAAAGGGAGAAAGCTTTCTTCGTGGTTTTAGGAAAGGGATTGATTTCCAAGCAAATTCGGGAGACATCACACTGATGTAGGGACCAGAAATGACCTTGGTCAGGTGGGCATCTCATTTGCCCTCAGGGCTCCATGGTTTACCATGAGGATCGCATTTGTTACTATGTTCTTTCTTTTTGACAGGCAGAGTGGACAGTGAGAGAGAGAGACAGAGAGAGAAAGGTCTTCCTTTGCCGTTGGTTCACCCTCCAATGGCCCGCCGCTGCAGCCGGCGCACTGCGCTGATCCTGGCAGGAGCCAGGAGCCAGGTGCTTTTCCTGGTCTCCCATGGGGTGCAGGGCCCAAGCACTTGGGCCATCCTCCACTGCACTCCCTGGCCATAGCAGAGAGCTGGCCTGGAAGAGGGGCAACCGGGACAGAATCCGGCGCCCCAACCGGGACTAGAACCCGGTGTGCCGGCGCCGCAAGGTGGAGGATTAGCCTATTGAGCCACGGCACCGGCACCATGAGTCTTTATACACAATTATTTCTGGAGAAGTGTGTTTTTTCAGTCAGTTATTGAGGGGATTATGGATGTTCAGAGATGACTCTAGAACCTTTTTATCTCTGTTCAGGACTATGGCCATGACAGAACTCAGTGTCTGTTTTGTAGGGGAATTAAACAGCAATCAGGCAACACCAAAAACAATGAACTTGGGGAACAGATGTAGACCAAAACTTGTGGTAAAACAATTTCCATGACTAGGAAATGTTGGTATGCGTGATTCTCAAAAGAATTTCAGCAAACCTCTAAACCTTACGTGACCAGATTAGAATTTGGTGAAATATCTGTACTACTCAAAGCATTCTATAATTTCAATACAATCCCAATTAAATACAATAACATTTTTAATAGAACTAGGACAAAACCTAAAATTCAAATGGAGTGATAAAAAATCGACAATAGCCAAAAAAAACCTTGAGCAAAAAGAACAAGGCTGGAGGCATGATGCTATCTGTCTTCAAAATATGCTACAACTATAAGACTACAGTAACCAAAATAACATCTTAGCATAAAAATAGACAATTAACCTATGGAAAAATGTAGAGAGCTAGAGAGCCCAGAAATAAATCCATGCATCTATATCCAACTGATTTTCATGGGCAGGAGGGAGGGTAGAGTGGGAAGTATCACTATGTTCCTAAATCTGTATATGTGAAATGCATGAAATTTGTATACCTTAAATAAAATTTATAAAAAGGAGTGACAAGAACAGATATCAAGGGAAGCACAATCTTTTTAAAATGTTGCTGAGATTTTTAATATTCTCATACAAAAGAATGAAACTTAATCTCTATATCTCATAATACATAAAAGTCAACGCAAATTGATGTCAAGATTTAAATATAAAGCCAAGAACTATGAAACTACTAGAAGAAAACATAGGTATAGGGTGCTTTAGGATATTGGAATACAGAAGATTTTTTGAAAATGACCTGAAAAGCAGTGGAACAGATTAGAGACACAAAAATTAATCCATGCACTTAAAACCAACTAATCTTTGACAAATGAGATAAATTCACTCCATGGAAAGAGGAAAGTCTCTTCATGCATGGATCTCTGCTTGCAGAATTAAAAAGCAAGACCCATACCTTATACCCTATACAAAAAATCAACACACAATTGATCAAGTACCTAAACCTAACACCCAAAGCCATAAAATTACTGGAGGAAACATAGCTAAAACACTGCAAAACATTGTCCTAGGCAAGGATAAGACCTGAGAAGCAAAGGCAATAAAAATCTAAATAAACAATGGGGATTGCATCCAGCTAAGAAGCTTCTGCACAGCAAAGGGATCACTCAACAAAGTGAAGAGACGATCAACAGAATGGGAGAAAATATTTGCAAACTATACATCTCATAAAGGACCAACATCCAGAATATATTAAGAACTCAAGAAACCCAACAACAGAAAAGTGAACAATCCGTTTAACAAATGGGCTAAGGATATGAAAGGCATATTTTCAAAGGGTGAAATGCAAATGACCAACAGACACATGAAAAAATGCTCAGGATCACTAACCATCAGGGAAATAAAAATTAAAAACCACAATGAGGTTTCACATCACCCCAGTTAGAATGGCTTCATCTGTAAATTGAAAAATAACAAGCAGCCAGTGCTGTGGCATAGCAGGTTAAGCCACCACCGACATCACCAGCATCTCATATGGATACCAGTTTGAGTCTGTAAATTTTAATTTATAGTTAATTATTGTACGTATTTCTAATGGAATGTGTTGTTTTAATACATGTACACATTGATTTTGTAAATATCAAATCAGGGTATTCAAGTATAAATTAAAATTTTTTGATGACTAGAATATTAATGGAATCGTTTCTCCAGGTAGTCTCCATGGGCTCAGAGACTTCTTTGAGATCAAAATTATGTTTCCCTCCCTATCACCCACAACACTGGTGCAAGTGACTAATATATACTCTGAGAAAAATGCAACAAAATTGATTTTAGTCAATACTCTGGAGCTATTCTTTCCTTCCTTTATCTATAAGCTACTCAAAAGCAGGACTTATATTCATTGAAAGCTCTCATTTTAAGTTTAATATGGCCTTTCTTTCAATCTGCCAATGAGAAATATTTCTAATTTTGTTTTATCCTCCTAAGAGGAAAAATTAAAAAATGAAGTCTTTTTTTTTTTACCATTTTTCTCCATCTTTTTCTGATCAGTGAACAAGGTGATAGATATGATATTAATCCTTGTTGATTTCCTTGCATGGGCTCTGCTCTAAGAAGACATGAGTCAGACAATGGCTATTTCAGATAGCAACACTCACAGACATTTTAAAAAAGAAGAATTGCATTAACCTCAATTACACATGATAAAATATCTTTCCTGGGGTAGTTATATATTAGTGGTTTTAATCTGTTATTTCAAGAAAGTGTTTGAGAGTCAGATGAAATTTAATTAAATATTATGAGACTCACATTCTGGCTTCTATGAATGGGGGTTGCCAGTATGAAAAGTAAGGCTGACATTACCTGATCTGGTTTCTGGTCAAATCATTGCCACTGGAAAAGGCAGAGTTTGACTCCCAGGATCCCACATTACTTCAGTGTCAAAAGTGGGTAAAACATTCAAGGCAGTTTCAGATGATAGACATGAGGGTCTTGCTTGGGGGTGGGGGCAAATCTAGGGTGTCCAGAGAAAAATAACCAGAACAAACCGGTCTTAAAACAATGTTTTATATGAAAAAGTTAAAGAAATAAAGAATGGTCAGCTTAGAAAAGAGCAAAATCACTGAATATGAAAGCTGAGAGAGACTTCAAGCATCATTATTTAATTCCCTTCATTGTGCAGATGAGATTCAAAGCAATGAGATGAATAGATGGAAGTTGCAGCACTACTTTGGGCTGATACAAGATAAGCCTGCAGTCTTCTGGCTTCTGAACCCAGACTCCTCCCACAGTGCCACCCCCAAGGTCCAGGTTCCTCAGACTCTGTGAAGTGATGGTCTTAGGAAGCATGACTAAGATGAATGCAGACGTGCTTACACAGAGACAAACACCATGTGTGATTCCTTTTCTCACCAGTGTGCCTCTCTCCATGACAACCATTAAGCAAGGATCAGCCTGTGACTCAGGCTGATCATCATCTTTAAACAAACATCCACATATGTTTTTTGTAGAAGATTTGATTAGAACACATGAGAATAAATTATAAATGCATATTCAGCAAAGCATTGGAAAAAACATTCTAATGAATAGAATTGTACAACATTATAAAAGGCTATAGCTCAGAACTGAGTTTCTCACTATGGACTATATTCAAAAGAGCCAGGTAGCAATCAATCCAAGATGCCCTGAGGATTTTTTAAAGAACCAATGCTGGGTTTAAATTGCTTCTAAGAGTCTATCTTTGGGGCCAGAGCTGTGGCATAGCAAGTAAAGCCGCTGCATCCCATATGGGCTCCAGTTTGTGTCCCAGCTGCTCCACTTCTAATCCAGCCTCTGCTATGGCCTGGGAAAGCAGCAGAAGATGGCCCAAGTCCTTTGGCCTCTGTACCCACATGGGAGACCGGGAGGAAGCTCCTGGCTCCTGGCTTCGGATCAGCGCAGCTCCAGCCATTGTGGCCATCTGGGGAGTGAACCAATGGATGGAAGACCTCTCTCTCTCTGACTTTCAATTAAATAAATTTTAAAAAAGAGTCTATCTTTGACCTACTGAAAATGGGGAGAAGAAAAAGCATGTATTCAACATGCAGCAATAATTAAGAAGACTAATCTGATAGTAAAATGGTGGAGCAAAAATACTAGCAGGAAGCTGGCTAGAAGTTGTAAAATTTTTAACTATCAATATAAAGTCTCTAAAGACGAATGCTGAATCTACTACAGGAACTTCAAAATCAATCTGCATTTATTTCACATCTCAGAAAACTGTTTACCTATTGATTTGGGAAGCTCCTGAGAATTCTGCTCTTTCAAATTCTCCACAGTTGGTGCTTCTGCCGATTCCAGTGGCCAACCAGCAAGGGCACTAAGAGATGGGGATTCTGGGAATAAGAGAAACATGGATGAGAAACAGGTTATGTTCAGCTGAGGTGCTAGCGTGCCTCTTTCATTATGGTGTCTTCTCTCTAGGTTATGTTGACATTGGGCTCATCCCAAAAGGAGCAAGGGACATAAGGATCATGGAAATGGAGGGAGCTGGAAACTTCCTGGCTATCAGGAGTGAAGACCCTGAAAAATATTACCTTAATGGAGGATTTATTATCCAGTGGAATGGGAACTACAAGCTTGCTGGGACCACCTTTCAGTATGACAGGAAAGGAGACCTGGAAAAGCTGATTGCTCCAGGTCCCACAAATGAGTCCGTGTGGATCCAGGTAATGTTAAAAGGCAGGCATTGCTGGTGTGAGCCGAGGTCAGCATCTTTCTAATTTCTGCCCAAAGGTACTTGCTAGTAGATATTAAATATGAATTTTAAAACTGCTTTTAGCCAGAAACAGAGAGGTTAGCAAGATATTGGTTTGTGCTGTGAATCCTTTATTGCCTAGAAATTTCTCAAACTCCTATAACAAAATGCCAGGAGCTCTAAAGTCACCATGGGAAGGGTTCAAGTCCAGTTTTCCCGCTGATTTGTTCCAGGGTGATTGTTCCTCGAGTGCATTAAGGGCGCTCTTGTTTACAGCAAGTGTGGTATGGGTTTTTAAATCACTTTCCACCAGTGGTGATGAACTGCTATGCTATCATGCAGCTGTCTCAGGCAGAGGATTTGACTTGTGGAACTGTTAGAGGAAGGAAGGGTTCAGATGCAGTGTGCACTCTTCAAAGGCACACAGATGTGTCTCGCATATTGGGTACAAAAATGTAGAAAATGAGTAGAATGATTACATCAGTAGAGGCAAGACAGTTTGGGGATCACCAGTGGCTCAACAGAGTCAGATCTACCCCACATTCAAAAATAAAGGGAAGTCATTTCAGTTAAAGATCAAGCTAAGAGTCAGGCTTGGCAGCATGACCATCAGTGATAACAGATCTTTTATATGACTTGTCTACATGGGCCAGGATTTCATATGCAAACCCCAGTACTGTGGGGTAATCAGTCCACAGCCTGTATGTTTAAGATGGATCCATTTTAAAGGTGTGGTAAACAGATTACCTGCAGGAGAAGAAAATGGGGGAAAGAGCCCAAAAAGGGCACACCTTAGCTAAAATCCATGACCATTTTAATCCAAGAGCTGCCATGAGTAAGAGGGACTAACCAGCCTGGGAGCTAGAGATGGACCCCACAAGACAATGAGAATAAACATAATAAAAGTTAACATTTACTGAATGCTAACTCCATATCAGGCATTCTAATCACTGATTTAACTCACAAAAACTCTTAGTAGCTACTATTAAAATGTTTGCTTCGTATATGGGGAAACTAAGGCATGTGCCTATATCTACAAAGTGAGAAAGTACATAGGTTACAAAGTTACCTACCAGTCCCTTGTGAAACCTCCTTTCTAGTCTCTCAGAGTAATCACCATACGGTTAGAACTCCCTCTGTGTGTGTGTGTGTGTGTGTGTGTGTGTGTGTATACACACAGTATATATATATATATATATATACACATATATATTTCAGTGTATATATATACTGTATATATACTGTATATATGTATATGTATATGTATATATGTATATTATATATATATACACACACACACACACACACACACACACACTGAAATCCCCATGGGAATTCAGCCAAGACATGCATATGTAAGTGTAATACAGCCACAAATAATATGTAGATGTGTAAATAGAGAGGTAGAGGCAAATAAACAGATATATAGAGAGACTTAAATATAGAAAAAGAGGGAGATACACAAATATAGATGTAGGTGTATAGTTAGAGGTAGATACATAGACATAGATACGGATCCATTTACTAAGCATTTGTTATAGCACATGCTCCCTTAACTACTGTTAGATGATGGAATTGTGATTATTTTCCCTTGACAATGGTTTGTGGTATAAAATCATGACAGCAGATGATGACATGTGGCCAATCTCTTGCCTTCTAGCTCCTATTCCAGGTCACTAACCCTGGCATCAAGTATGAGTACACAATCCGAAAAGATGGTCTTGACAATGATGTGGAGCACCTAATGTACTTCTGGCAGTTTGGCCGCTGGACAGAGTGCAGTGTAACGTGTGGGACAGGTGAGACACTGCTGCCATGGCGGCTCAGGGTGGGTCACTGGAAGAACCTGTGGTTTGCACTCAGGGTCCCATACAGATGGCCCTATGGGCAGTGGACATGCAGGGACATAATTTAAAGGGAGAGGCACTTCTCGCATCTCATTGACTGTTGCACAATTCAGCTGCAAAGGGAGGTACGATGGGGCCCAGGACCATTTAGGGAACAGAGTCCCTTTGTCACAGAGCTGTATAAGCATTCCCAAGGCCTGGGAAGGCAGAGATCAGAACCTGTTGGGTACTTGGGGCTGTTTCACTCATTCAGGGGCTTTACTGTTAGCACCGCAAAGGAAAGCCTCTGCTTCATGCCTCCTTCTCCATCTCCTGAGTCTTGCTCTGTGATGTACAAAAGAAAATAAAAGTCTAGGAGTGAATGGGTCAGAAGGCCACAGTTCCCTCCATGGGCTTCTCTCTCACATTCTTGGTGTCTGCCCTGCTCACTCACTGGTTTCCCACCCCCTCAAATGGTCTCAAATGACATCCAGCAACTGTCACGAGCCATGCCCTGTCGACCTTTTCTCGAGTTCTGCTCACCGTTTTGTAGGGATGTATGCCTGTATATAAGTATGCTGTCTTTTACATTGTTTCTTTTTCAAAAAAGATTTGTTTATTTGAAAGTCAGTTACAGAGAGAGAAAAACAGATCTTCTATCAGCTGGTTCTCTCCCTAGATGGCTACAATGGCCAGAGCTGGGGCAGGCTGAAGCTAGGAGGCAGGAGCTTCGTCTGAGTCTCTCCCACATGGCTGCAGGGTCCCCCAAACACTTGGGCAAAGTTCTGCTGCTTTTCCTAGGCCATTAGCAGGAAGCTGGATTGGGAGTGGAACAGCCAGAGCACAAATTGGCACCCATATAAGATGGCCACATCGCAGGCAGTGGCCTTACCCCCATGCCACAACACTGGCCTCTTGATTTTTATTTTTAAATGTATTTTATAATCTATTCTAATAAGTTAATAGTGTTATTATTATATAGTCTATTACTGTTAATATGTATATTTTATATATTGTTATGCATTTGAAGCACAAGACTATTAGAGTAAGAATTCATTGTTGTTATTTTGAAGATTTAAAAGTTCAGTTATCCTCATTTTAAATCAGAGATCTATGTAAAAACTGTCAAGACAATTTTACCCATTTAGCTCACTGGCCTGAAAGCCAGCGTGCTTTTCACAGTTCACCATTTAGAAGGTAGAGGGCGCTCTGGAGAACGCCAGGGACCTTTCTCCAGATTACTTTCTGTTCCTCTGCCCCTCAGCCACATTTGCTTTCATTTCTGCCTTACTCATGAGAGTGACCTTAGGACTCGAGGGGATTTAGGCTGAGCTAGTCCTCAGGAAAATTTGGAAAGATGGAATACCCGGGGCTACCATCCATCAAAGGTTTGCTGGAGGGAATTTAGCAGATCATCAATGAAAAGTTCAGCCGATAGATTATCTTTGAAGAAGCACTGCAGAAATGGCTTGGCACAATGCTGATCTCAACAGGAAGCTTTAGAAGTTCTTCTTAAATAAGAGACTACTTTGACAAAAACTCGGGATCACTTCCAGGAAGTATAGACGATATGTATTTACCCCATGATAGTCCTAATGCTGCAGATGTGTGTCAGTTGTGTTACATTCTAGCCAGAATGTCCTTGGTGCTGGAAAACTCACAGAAATGGTGTGCATGTTAGAAATAGCTCACTGCGGCCGGCGCCGCAGCTCACTAGGCTAATCCTCCGCCTTGCGGCGCCAGTACACCGGGTTCTAGTCCCAGTCAGGGCACCGGATTCTATCCCGGTTGCCCCTCTTCCAGGCCAGCTCTCTGCTGTGGCCAGGGAGTGCAGTGGAGGATGGCCCAAGTACTTGGGCCCTGCACCCCATGGGAGACCAGGAAAAGCACCTGGCTCCTGGCTCCTGCCATCGGATCAGCGCGGTGCACCGGCTGCAGCGCGCTGGCCGCGGCTGCCATTGGAGGGTGAACCAAGGGCAAAGGAAGACCTTTCTCTCTGTCTCTCTCTCTCACTGTCCACTCTGCCTGTCAAAAAATAAATAAATAAATAAATAAAAGAAATAGCTCACTGCATGGGATGGGAGAAGGAGCAGGAGACAGGAGGGTTGCGGGCGAGAAGGAAGTTATGGGGGGTGGGGAGCCACTGTAATCCAAAAGCTGTACTTTGGAAATTTATATTTATTAAATAAAAATTTAAAAAAAAAGAAATAGCTCTCTGCTTCTGAGCGTGCCCTCACCTGCTTTATTCTCTATGCTCATCTCAATCCTACATTTTCAGGATGGCATGCATGTGCCCCTTCCCTTTACCCAACTTGGCTGGATTATCTCCAGAGTTTAGTTACTGTCCCTTTGTTCAAGGAATGTTATGTTTTAGTATGAAAAGGCAAATATTAAAAACTTCAAAGACTGGGCATGCAAAATTTATGAAGATTGCTCAATCTGTCCTGCTAAGCTGGGTTTTAAACTGGTTCACCTAAATTGGAAATACATATAGAGCAAATACAATGTAAATGTAAACAGTGTAGTATTTACTGTAGCTGGTTCTTGCAGGGTTTATACAACAACATTCTCATTAAAGCTTAATAAGAATGTATTTGAGATATGTCCACATATCCTTGAAAAGCACGAGAGTCTTAAACAGGTACACATATTCCACTGTGACTGTGACCACACTCATGTACTGATATTTAAAAAAAAGACTTCACTTCTCTAGAAAATCAGAGTCCTCCTTTGACATGTTCCAGGTACACTCATCTTGGTGCAATCCATCAGATTTTATCCACCATAATTATCAGGTGGTATCAATGAAGTCTGGATATTGATCTGTCTCAATACCTGGAGGATTCTTTCTAATATAGCACTCCATAAAAATAACAGGAATTTTATTGAGATGGATTGAACATGTTATAGAATGAAGAGTATGTGGTTTACTGTATACATCAGTATATAAAATAAGCTTCAAGTAATATGGAGTAGAAGTCTGATATTCTTTTGGTTGTAGTTGACTGATAAACCAGTGTTAACCCTCAGCCAGGGTGGCTAATCTAATGGTCCTGTTGGGCTGGGCTTCTCAGTGTCATTTCATTTTTACTCCATGCAGCCGGTAAAGAGACCTGTCTATCCCTTACTTCCAAGCCCTTAGTTTTTCTCTCTCATGATTGAATTGCTTGGAATTCCTCAGCTGAATTCTATGAAGGTTTGCTTTGCTCATTGTGGTCTGTGCAATGCTGCTTGCTTTCTTGCTGACCTGTGAGTGTTGTGAGATTTTGCATGTCTTTGATTTTCTTTTCTTGTGTGCTTCACCTGATTTGCACACAGTGGCTGCTAAAGGAGTATATTTTGATTTTTGTAAATTTTTAAAATGACTCATTGGTTCACCCTCCAATGGCCGCCGCGGCCAGCACACTGCAGCCGGCGCACCGTGCTGATCCAATGGCAGGAGCCAGGTGCTTATGCTGGTCTCCCATGGGGTGCAGGGCCCAAGCACTTGGGCCATCCTCTACTGCACTCCCTGGCCACAGCAGAGAGCTGGCCTGGAAGAGAGGCAACCGGGAAAGAATCCGGCGCCCTGACCGGGACTAGAACCTGGTGTGCCGGCGCCGCAAGGCGGAGGATTAGCCTAGTGAGCTGCGGCACTGGCTGGAAAAACCATTTCTTACTTAATACAATTAAACATTCTTCAAGAACCAGCAATGATCTTTCATTTCATTTAAGACACACACACACACACACACACAGACATGGCAACATGGAGGAAGGGTTTCAGAATCCTCTGGAAATAACATTTAGAATTTGATTCTCATACATTTGTCAGTGTGATTGATTTCTATATAATGTCTTTTCAAGAGAATTGTTTCAGAGAAGCAGTGAAGTTAGAACTCTGACAATATATTGATTGGCTTCCTTAGTCAAAGTCAGAATTTCTTTGTGGGCTCTGTTCAGTTTACAAGGGACAAATAGCAAAACAAGCTAAATAAAAAGCCAGAATCATTTTTTTCCTTTAATTTCCAGGGAAAGATCAAAGTCACATAGATTCACCCTAATCTCCTGCACTTTCTGCATTTGCAGTGTTACATAATGATAACCGCTTTTAAAAAGATGACCTGGTTCTAACCCCTCCACAAGAGGTATTACAATGTCCTATGTCAAAGAAAGATTCTGTTACTCCAACAACTGGTTTTCAGAGTTATTTCATGTCAGTGGAGATATATAGTTTGAGTTTTTTACTGAAACAGAGATTATGTCACATAGAGTCCCCGCAGGAAACAGCTGGTTACTTTCAAAGGAGTGGGTATGGGGAAACCATGAGAGGAAATGCAGTGCCACAGCCCACTAACAGAGGAAGGTACAGAGAACAAGGCCACCATCTCCAGACTGAAAACTTAAGAGAAGGAACATTTTAACTGAAACTGAAATTGGAAGCGGCAGTGCTGCTGTTTTCCAAACCTAGCTGAAAGCCACAGCAATCCACAGGATCCCCACCTCAAGCTTCCGAGCCCGGTAAAGAAAGGGATGGGATCGAGTGGAGATGGAGAGAAAACAGAAAAACTGTAGCACAGGAGATGAGGAGATGAGAAATAAAGAAAATCATCAGTGCAGAGATTACAGTAAAATCAAATTGTATTACCCTCGGGTCCTGACTGAAGAAAGGAAGAATGTTAATATGTGTTGGATGCTGTTCCATTTACTACTGCTGTATAACAAATCACCCTAAACATAGCTCGTAAAACAGCCACCACTGGCCTATGATCACAGGTCCTGTGGGTCAGAAATGTAGACAAGACAGGTGGCAGTAAGACAGAGTTAAGACAGAGACAGAAAGGCAGAGAGAGAGAGAGAGAGAGAGATTTTTCATTTGCTGGTTCACTCTCAAATGCTCCCAATAGCCAGGGCGTAGGCCAGGCCAGAGCCAGGAGCCAGGAACTCCATCCAGGTAGCAGGTAGCAGGGACCAAAGCACTTGATCCATCACCTGCGCTTCCCAAGGTGTGCATTAGTGAGTTAGTAGGATGCTGGACCAGAAGCAGATGCAGAAGCAAAGCTTAATCTCAGGCACTTCAAAATGCAGATATCCCCAGTGGTAGCTTAACTACTAGCCTTTCTTAACCTAACAATTTCAATGGAATAACAAGGTACTGGAACATTTGACATCAGAAAAGCCAACATATCTCTCTCTCTCTCTTTCTCTCTCTCTCTCTCTTTACCTTCCTACCTTCCTACCTTCCTCCCTCCCTCCCTCCCTCCCTCCCTCTCCTGTGTGAGCACATTGACATTCAAATGAAAATAAATAAATAACATTAAAGTATACCCCCTCTGGCCTCTGAATATGCAAGTTTGCTTGGGGCATTGGGCTAGAATGAGACCACACAGTGACCAGTGTCCTTGGCATTAAAATGAGGATGGAACCAGCTTACTGGATTCTCAGGGCTTTTCCAGTTCTGGAGTTTTGCACAACAATAAACTCACTCAAAGCCTAGATGCCTACAGAGGGAAGGGTGCCAGCTTTTTCACAAGCTGATTGCTCCTCTCTGAGAGGCCTCACTTTTCATGTTATTCTTTTCCAGTATTTCACATTTAACATCAATGCACTTGCTCCCTCCAGAGAGAGGCCACTCCTCCTCACAGCCCCTTCGCCTCTCAACCCAAGGCAGTCTGGCCACTCCTCTAAGTTCTATTACTAATGAAGTCCTAGTTAGCAGAGCCGGTGATGCCTCACCTTTCTCAACCTGTGTGACTTCATTGTGCCTCAGCTCCTTCATATCCAGGTAGTGATTATAATGATTGTGTTGATCTCCTTGGGTTGCTGTAATATTCTGCTTACTATACATTTTTATTGCCAATATATTATTATATATAATGTACTTACCTATTAATGTTACACACATTCCAGTATATGTATGTGTACTCCTGTATATGTATGCATACACATGTGCACACACACACACACACACACACAGCTTAGAACAGTACCTGGAACAAGGCATTATTTTCCTTAGACCTATCACTCCCCATTGCTTCCCTTTTTTACAGAATCCACTTGAGCTCTGTAGACATAACATTTCAAACTTCATAACATTTAAAATTTTATTCCTACATTTCAGAGTTTACTAACCTCAACAAATATAAATATCTCTACCTTCTCTATTCTTCTATCAAGTTAATTATGTAGCAATTGCCTTGAAATACCTGAGAATAATATCTGCTTTTGTTGGTTAGATCTCACTTGATTTTCTATTTGGCACATGTATGTTAGTGTTGTTTCTACAACTAGACCGCGGCCCATATAATAGATCCTATGAGTAATCTACCTATATTATCTCCTCTCTTAACATTGCCAGCTCCAGCATAAGGGTGGGTAGCAGGAAGTCTACTTTAAAAACAAAGAACTGGGGCTGGTGCTGTGGCATAGCGGGTAAAGCTGCCACCCGTAGTGCCAGCATCCCATATGGGTGCCAGTTTGAGTCCCAGCTGCTCCACTTCCAATCTAGCTCTCTCCTTTGGCCTGGGAAAGCAGTAGAAGATGGCCCTAATCCCTGGGCCCCTACCAGGGAGACCCAGAAGAAGCTCCTCACTCCAGCTGTTATAGCCATCTGGGGAGTGAACCAGCTAATGGCAGACCTCTCTCTCCCTGCCTCTGCCTCTTTGTAACTCTGCCTTTCAAATAAAACAAATATTAAAAAGAAAAAAAAAAACAAAGAACTTTTGGACAACTTTGCATTAACTGTAAGCATGATCACTTGTCATGGTCAGGGGCCTCCCCCTACAGTGGGCATATGCATGCTTAGGATTCAAGATCTCTCTGCCCACCCCCTAGGTATTCGCCGCCAGACTGCCCACTGCATGAAGAAGGGCCACGGGATGGTGAAAGCTACATTCTGTGACCCAGAAACTCAGCCTAATGGGAGACAGAAGAAGTGCTATGAAAAGGATTGTCCACCCAGGTAACCAATGATAGCAGCTGGGGCTCTTTGTGTCTGCCTAGAGGAGTGCTACCTAATTTAGTAGTAAACTCAGTGATGACAAAGGAGGGCTGTGTGTGTTAGTAGAATTATTAAAACTATTTATGTCACTGGAATAAATATATGAAAGTTTTAGAGATTTCTGTGGCTGTGCCAATGGAACCTGTGATCGACTGCGCAGATATTTCTTTCCAGAGAGCAATATTCCTTGCAGAGTTTATGTATTGCCTGTGTTTATTTATTGGTAAACCCAAACCACTGTTGAAAATGCTATGTAGCTCACCTAAAAGTTGTTTAACTGATGGGGTTGGTCTTTCCAAGGGGACTTTATCAGCACAGCTGTAGCCTCCAGACAGTATGTTGACACCTTTGGATCACAGTGCTCACTCATACTGCAGGCTGCCTGGAGGAGCGGGATGCAGAGCAGGCTTACCCGGCCTCTGCACTGTTGACATTTGGGGCTGGATGATTCTGGTGAGCGGCTGTGCCTGGCTTGCATCCACTTGCATCCACAGTAGCACCTTGTCCCTCACAATCAGGTTGTGACAAAACAAAAATTGTCTCGAGACATTGCCAAGGGGGACAAAATCACCCTTGGATGAGAAGCACTATTAGAGAGAGACTCATTTGCTAACCATATTGGTTCAAGATATTAGGATCCTAGCAGGTATCTGGGATGTTGCTAGGAGGGACTTATACTAAAAAGGGAGACTAGAAGAATAAGGAAGAATAGGACAGTAAAGGAATCAGGGAAGTGGAGAAAGGAGGGAGGGAGAGGGAGGGAGGGCAGGCAGGCTAGTAGCCTAGCTGATGTTTACTGGAGAATGTCTTCATTGTCAAGGGACCTCAGACAGTCATATTTAGGTTACAGATTCCATCAGGCATTCATTCAATTCTTGAACAGACACACTAAGAATAGATTAGTTGAATAGGAGGGGGCTAGTTGCTGTAATAACTTAAACAAGGGGCTGGCGCCATGGTGCACTTGATTAATCCACCGCCTGCAGTGCCAGCATCCTATATGGGCACCAGTTCTAGTTCCCGTTGCTCCTCTTCCAGTCCAGCTCTCTGCTGTGGCCCAGGAAGGCAGTGGGGGATGGTCCAAGTGCTTGGGCTCCTGCACCCGCATGGGAGACCAGGAGGAAGCACCTGGCTCCTGGCTTTGGATCGGTGCAGCACTGGCTGTAGCAGCCATTTGGGGAGTGAACCAATGGAAGGAAGACTTTTCTGTCTTTCACTCTCACTGTCTGTAACTCTACCTGTCAATAAATAAAAAAAAATTTTTTTTAATCTTAAAAAAATAACTTAAGTGACAGGCTGGATTCTAAGGAGCTAGGAAGTGATAACTGCCAAATAAATAGATGGAAAAGGAGAGTCAGGATGAGTCAGTTAAGGGAAGCAATGCTAGCTCCTTACGGGTTCAGATGGGTAGGACCCAGAGACCAAGACATTCTCAAATTAGAGGGTTTGCTCTCCATCCAGTTCCATGGTTTCTTTTGGGTAAGAGGAGGGCCGGGCCGGCGCCACGGCTCACTAGGCTAATCCTCCACCTTGCGGTGCTGGCACACCGGGTTCTAGTCCTGGTTGGGGCGCCGGATTCTGTCCCGGTTGCCCCTCTTCCAGGCCAGCTCTCTGCTATGGCCAGGGAGTGCAGTGGAGGATGGCCCAGGTGCTTGGGCCCTGCACCCCATGGGAGACCAGGAAAAGCACCTGGATCCTGGCTCCTGCCATCGGATCAGCGCGGTGCGCCGGCCGCAGCGCGCTGGCTGCGGCGGCCATTGGAGGGTGAACCAATGGCAAAAGGAAGACCTTTCTCTCTGTCTCTCTCTCTCACTATCCACTCTGCCTGTCAAAAAAATAAAAAAAAAAATAAAAAAAAAAAGAGGAGGGCCATGAGATCCAAAATTGGACCCCACCTCTATCAATGCAAGACAGAAATGCAATAATCACCTTACCTTGCTTGAGCTTTCTCCTGTAACTCTTTTGCTAGGAAAAACTGGGAACACCAAGGGAAGATCAGGCCAATGCTATGTTTTGTAGGTTATGAAGTTTTTATGTCAGCTTCTCAGGGAAGAGTGAGGCAGGAAAGAGAACTCTCTGACAGCGGATCCATAGCGCACTGCTCTACAGAGCTCATGCACCTCACGCCTGCTTCCTGTCCTTCAAAGTCCATGAGCCTCCACCAATATGTCTTGCACTCAATGCACAGCAATCCCTGCTCCAGAGCCTGAGATCCTTATATTGTTTTCAGAACCACTCTGTTGGACTCCATGTCTTCTTAAAACCATAGTTGTTTTTTTCTAAAACTAGTTTTATCCCTGGGGTTCGCATTCTCATTTTTATAGTTCTCTGTAGTCTGCCGTAACCTTCATATTATCAGTAATTGTATGTTGAACTACTTTTTTCCCCATGAGAGATTCAATGGTGATAATAACCAAGTAATACCACTTATTGAGTACCAATTCACTCTCAGTCATAAGCTAGAGTTAAAGTAGTCTCTTTATCATGCTCAACTGTTAGGCCAACTTCTCAGAGGAAGAAATACTGATTACCTCAATTGGCATCATGAAGTTAGTAGGTGTCAGAGATCTGAATCCAGGGCAGTCTGTCTCTAAAGTCTGTTTCTGTTACAATCAGCAGACCTCCAAAGAGAGGTGTGCACTTCTCTCCTTATTTGGACTGTGTCTGAAACAGAGTAAGCACTGTGCTGTATTTGGTAGGCACCAAAAGGTTGACTTAGCCACTCACCTGTGAGTACTAGAGAAGAGTTGAGAATATCAGCTACAGTCACAGAGTCAAAGGAAGTTTGAGGAATCTGTATCAATTTGCAGTTTTAGAACAGACATCAATCTGTATCAACACTTTCTTTTTCACCTTTCGCTAAAAACTTGGCTTTACTATTTTCAGAATCCACTTCCTATATTGGTGATTATTTTACAAATCTCTACACTAATATCACCAGTACTTTCTAGTTGGATGCAAGCCTAGAATAAGATACATCTAAGGGAACTAGAGGGTGATGGCGGTTGGGGTAAGTGTCCAGAGGCTAGAAGACAATCAAAGAGCTACAGCTGAAATGTGACACTGAAGTAGACAGATAAATTCTCATTGATACAAGCAGGCTAAGCTCCGTGGACTTGAAGTTGGCCCCTAAATTCATCATCATGGTAGGCTGAAAAATAATCCCCAAGATATTTGCGTGCTAATCTCTGGAGCCTGCAAGTGTGACCTTATTTGGTGATAGGGTCTTTGCAGATGTGATAAAGAGAACAGAAATGGTGAGATTGTCCTGGGTAACCCAGGTGAGCCCTAAGTGTCACCATGGTGTCCTTTTAAGAAGGAGGTAGAAGGCATTCAACACATAGAAAGAAATGTGAAAAACAAGCAAAGAGAGATTTGAAGACGCTGAGCTTGAAGGTTGAAGTGACACAGCCAGAAGCCAGCAGCCACCACATACTGAAAGAGGCACAGAAGTGATTTTCCTGAAGGACCTCTGGAGTTTGTGCAGCCCTGCAGGCATTTGATCTCAGCGAGTGAGACTGTGGATGTTTACCCTCCAGCACTATCAGAACCTGAATTTCTGTTGCTTCAAGTCACCAAGTTCATGGTAATTTGTCACAGCAGTCACAGAGAACTAAGACAGATTAATGCAAATGTAATATAAAATTGGTAAAGGCAAAGAGATCCCTCCTCTATGTCATAAAAACTCTCAAGCCTGGAAAACCACTAAATGAAGATTTCCTTAGAGTGTGTGGCCAAGGATTTGAGGGAAGGCACAAACATAGCACTCCTGTAAAAAGCTTGCAGTCAAGATGAGATGCCTGTGCTTTTGCAAGATGGGGCTACTGTGAAGGCTGGGCCCAGCAGTGGGGTATCTGAATCCCTTCCCAGTGCCCTGTGCCCAGCCACTGTCTACAAGATCACTGCCCTCCTTTTGGCTTTTGGGTTGATTGGCACCTCTTCATCTCTGGGCTGTGGGAACAGTTTGCTAGAACAAGGTCAATGCTACTCCTTTCTCTCCTGCAGTGCTGCTTTTTTTTTTTTTTTTAACATTTAATTTATTTATTTGAGAGAGTTACAGACAATGAGAGAGGGAGAAGATAGAAAGGTTTTCCATCCACTGGTTTACTCCCCAAATGGCCACAATGGCTGGAGCTGGGCCAATCCAAAGTCAGGAGCCAGGAGCCTCTTCCAGGTCTCCCACATAGGCACAGGGGCCCCATACCTGGGCCATCTTCCACTGCTTTCCCAGTACACAGCAGAGAGTGGGATAGGAAGAGGAGCAGCCGGGACTCAAACCAGTGCCCCATGGGATGCCAGTGATACAGGCGGAGGCCCTAGTCCACTATGCCGCAGTGCTGGCTCCTTGCAATGCTTCTTAAACTGAGCACATGGAGGCAGCTTATTGATTCAGAGAACATTTTTGATATAGACCAATTGTGTAGCCCTCTCTCACGACACTTTCAAATAAGTCCTGGCAGTCAGAATGGAAACACTGATGGCCATAGCCCAGAACTGGTGATGGATTCTGCAGCTGCCATCTCTGCCTTCTACCTCGTCAGGCTTCAGGGGAAGAAACTGACCCAGCCTATTCCCCAGCTTCTGCTGTTGTGTTGGAAACATAATTTCTTCCAATTCCCTCTAGACAATTTGAAGATTATACCCAAGGAAGTAGAATAACGCATAAGCAATTTTTCAAGTCTCTTTAAATCTTTGTCATTTGGAAGCATTTTTGCTCTGATTTAAACTATTTTTCTCTCTTCTGATATCTATTTCCCAAGGTCTAAGTTTCTTTGAGATTATTTCTGTACATGATTAATGCCTGGACCCTAACTTACAGTTATTGAATATCAACAAAACTAACAGATCAAACAGTTCAGATCTCAAACTAAAGGCACAGCCTTCAGAAAAAATGTTAATGATTCTGGTGGTGTTCTGTTAAACTCTTAAAGTAAAATATTTGCCTTTAATTCGATTTTTGC